CCCCCCCACCTCAACCTATCGACTAAAAGTACCTTAAACTCAACCAATGCTTCAAATTTGAAGTAGAAAATTGTCAGAACACTAGGAGAGAGAGGACGATTATCAATTGAATAGAGAGGTGTAGTACTGCCTTAACTTTGAGATCCACTTCTTCTGTTGCTAACTCTTATAGCACAAGACGTTATTTCCAAAAGAAACGAAAGGCGATAGGATCTCTACATCCCACCCTTTCTTCCTTCCAAACTCTTTATCGAGAACGCCTAAAAAGCATCCCTGGGAGTCATCAGATAGGACGGGGGTTAGTCAGCCTACACTAGAATGTGAATGCTTTGTCAGCAGTGACGCAACGCGAGGTGAGACACATGCGACGCCTGGCGCGTCCTCCTCTACGGGGCATAAATGTTAATATTTGCTGAGCGCCAGCAAACGTACTCCCGACTAATTCTTCTAATATAGCGCAAATATAAATGCATCAGTAATGGATGAATGCTCTTTTCAGACCCAGGTGGAGAAAACTAATGGCTGACATACCAATGTTCGATTATATAAAACCCACGAACTACAATCACATACACCTAAATATTTCATTCGGCTTTCTATGGGTCTGGGTATAACGATAATACGATCTGACATCATGGATGCTTTGAAAATATTTTTGGGTTAACTACTCTCAACTATTCCTGAACGATAGCCTGATAAAAATCCGAAAATTTAGACGCAAACAGCTAGAGCATTTAGTCGACAACCAACTTCCACGATAATGAACAACGATTGTACATCTATTGGTTCTTTGCTAAACAAAAGCAGTTTCTTATCTTTCGGTCATCACGGCCGCCAAGATCGGCGATATCAGAATAATCGATCACCATAAACTGTGGTGAGGGGATAGCAGCACCTAACTGCTTACAATATGCGCATGTTCCACTCTACCCCAACATTGACCTCCTACATTCAACTTTACACAGATCCTCAATATTTTGCTCCTAACTGCCAAGTGGCTTAAGGAAATTATATTCACGTGCCTAAAATTATCGAAGGTAAGTACTGCACGCATATGAAATGAAGAGATAGCTATTTGCAGTGATCTCCAGACATTCCGACACTTAATAAAGTGTCAATTAATCGATAAAGTAAGTTGCTCAAAAGCCAATTGTTCAAATGCAAAGATGGAGGAGAATCATTTATGGATTTGCTTATTCAGAACGATTAAAAGACTCACAAGAACTTTTATAGAAAATTCAAGATTAGACAGTTCAAGAAACTGCAGGTGTTGGCATTTTCAAATTTAAAAAAATGGAAGTTTATTTATTAATTAGCTAATCCCTGAAATTTAAGTTAAAAAGGCGCATTTTAGCACATATAAACACGAAAGACACAATGTCAGTTGGCATAGTAGAAGTACTACTGGTTTCTATTATTAACAATAAATTATTTAATTTCGTAGGCCAATTTTACAAAAATAAAAATGAAGCACACGAAGATAACTTACCGATAATTAGCCTCTTCCAAGGCTCGTTCCATAGCAGTAATCTGTTCATCCACCTAAAATGCACAGGTAGAAAGAGTGTCACAAATTCTGCTGGACAGGTTTTTTTAGTAGGGCATTACTCTCATAGCCTTCCACAATTTCACACAAACTCAACTAAATTCGAATAAATTTCAGTTAGTCATCAGTGGAATCAAATAGAAGCTGGGAGGGAGAGGAGGTGGGGGGGGGGGGGGGGGAGATTCGAGAATGCCTTCAGACGGGGAAAATGTATGATTCATAACAATTACTCTGGAGGCAACCATAAGGGTAGCATAAATACGAAATATAACTCGGATAGGGCAGTGCATAATTTGACTAAGTTCTGTAAAAGCATTTATAATGTGAAGTGGACAAGCTCATCGATTAATTACGGTAGCTAAGTGTGCGATAGGATAAGATAATAATGGCTCAAGATTATATTTCCTCTACTTAAGTGGAGAATTACGGAAACAATTTTCACAAAGGACTTTGGAAGTAAAATGTTAAACGTTCATTTTTACCGCTGTAACTGAAATCATGACGATGGTAGCAGTAGGATGTACTTTAAAATTGACTGATTTTGAATGCGTGCTGCCTTCCGCTATTAGATGCACTTAATCAAATTTATGAAAAATTGAAGTACGGCGAAAATGACAATGAATAATAATTCCATGCCTAAAAAAACGACACATTACGACGATTTGCCAAATCACCTTCAAATCTAAACCATAAAAGGCTTTGAGAAAATAACCACCAAATACGGACTTAGAGAATGAAATAATCATATTGTACATTCACCAATTAAGCACACTTAGTATTAGTGCGATTTGCTTATTCAAACTACATATTTCAAATTATTGCTTTGTAAATGAACTGCAAAAGGGGGGGGGGAGTTACTAACATAGAAAAACGAATATCAGCTCACGCCAACCCCCCCTCCCATAAATCTGGGTCGAATTAAAGCTAATCGTGGAATTTATAATACCACATAATAACGATAATTAATGCAAGTACTCCCCTACCGCCCCCCCCCCCCCCAACCACACACAATAAGACGCTATAAGTCAGGTTAAGTTTAAGTGAGCCAAAATATGTTGCGAGAGGGACTCACAGAAGACCTCGAAGAAGCTGACAACTTGAGAGCTTGGTACTCTTCCTTCACTTGGGAATGTTGAGAAGAAAGAGACATCACACGTGCCTCCGAGGCTGCATATTGTTTCTCTAGTTCTTCACTAAAAATTACAAAAAAAAATATGGTTTGAGTTCAAGTACCCATAAAACCGATGACAGAGATAAATGAAGGAGTGGTTAATATACCAATTCAATGACGTATTTTTATTACACTGTAAAGTACAACTTATGCCAACTAACAGTTAAGTAAATCCAAAGCACAACTTGAATTAAGCAGAAAATGTTCGCTTCAAGATCAAGATCTTAATATTGGCCAATATGATCTCATTCCCCCCCCCCCCCCCCCCTGTAAATTTATTACTGAAAGCTATGTACTCGCCATTCAATATACTATCCTTAATAGAAGTTAAACTAAATGGGCGAATAGAGAAGACACATTCAACAAACAACTTCAATTTATTATGCCTACACAAATTAATGAAATATTAACAAGATACTAAAATATCAGGCAACATAAGTGGTTTATCAATCTCATCAGGGAGCGAAATTTCTATCAAGAATAATACGCCTAAAGGTCGCCAATAACTATTTAATATTCAAACTGAAGTGGCCTACTTTCAAGAGCACTAAGCAATGCGACCACACGAGCGAATGCATATTCTTTCACGCAAAAAACAACATAGATAGAAAACACTCAGCGAATACCAACGTCGTAGAGGTCAGACCTAATCCGCAAGTGGGTTGAACCCTTTTATTACAATTTTAGCGAACCTAAGTCGCCTACGAGCCCAATTTTGCAAAGCAAAGAAAACTATAAACACTTGTCCACCTTTAATACCCAAGTCCACTTACTTATGAAGTCGAAGATGAGCCACTTGTTGTAAGAGCTCTTCGTCGGTTAGAATCAAACCTTCTTTGTTAGAAAGAGCAGCTTTGAGTTCATTCAACTTCCTGTCACGTTCAGCTACAGCCGCATCGAGGTCAGATTGCAGGTTTGAGAGCCGCTGTGCATAGGTTTCCGCCTCGCTACCTTTCTGATTAAGCAATTGTTGGAGCTGGAATAACCAACAAAGAAAATGCTACTGAATGGGTATAAGTAAATACATATTTTCGTAATTTGAAGTTGTTGACGAACCGAAAAGATTTCTTGTTGATGTTCTGTTAATGAGGCTGTCAATTGACATCTCTCAGCTTCCAGGACCTCAAGACGCTTGCGAAGTTCCTCCGTTACTAAAGCTTGGGCAGGTGACGCTTCTTGAGCCCTCTGCAGCTCAAGTTGAACTTGGGTGAGAGCAGCCATTTGTTCGACGGAAGCCGACTGGAATGTGTGAGGATGCAGCGGAGGAGAGTGGATGAGTGCGGTGAGAATGAGAGTGGAATGAAAGAAAGCGGCAATAACACCATATTTCCACCAGCGTAAAGTGGTGACAAGATGGGAGAGAAAAGGTGCAATACAACAGTATCAACTTAAAATCAAGTAAGTGGTTAACAAATGCAACTTGTTAAATCAAGTCCTTTGGACCAATCACAACAACATTCCCCTAACAACCTTAGAAATTTATTAGTCAAACAAAGTTATGATCACTCAGGTTTACTACTCCTTACTTCATTTGAACATCTTGTTGCACAATAAATCGAGAGGAAGCATTCTTCGGGTGGAGGGTTAATTAACATATAAACTTAGTTGCAAGTTTAAGCGAAACAGACTTTCGATGAGTTGATCATAGTTCAAAGTTCCAATGCACTGTCGACAAACTCAATTAATAAATAACTAAGAAAGCAATTAGGAGACATGGAATGATATCAAGAACCAATCCGAAGTATACGCTTTCCATTGCTACGATATGAATTTCAACTAACTAGGGAGTGAATGCATACACGTTCACGTATGAAACCGCCATTCAGTGCAATTGTCATACAACCCTCCTTAAAACTAAAATTCGATCAATTAGCTCTCTTATTCTACCAAAAAGTATATTTATGAACTTCTATGACCATTGTATGAAACTTATTTTTAATAAAAATCAAAATTTACATCTTTCTTTTGACCAATAAAGGGATTCAGCCTGTTTCTCCAACCCCCCCCCCAAAAAAAATTGTCAATATCATATAAAGTCACCCCAAATCATAATAATATAATATTAAATTAATTATGGCGACTAAGGCGAAATGAAACAAATATTAAGTTAGGTCAAAGCATTTTTGCTAGATTAGTTACTATTTCCCAAACATTGACGAAGCTTTTCCTATTGTTAAAAGAAAGCAAAAAAGAGAGGAAGAGAAGGTGGAGTGGAAAACAAATCCTAGTTGGATCAATGTTTATATACAGTTTATAAGTATAAAGCACAGAAACATGAGAACTCACCTCTTTTTGAGCGAGTTCAGCTTCAGCTTCCAGAAGTCGAATACTCATCTGTTGAAGAGCTTCAGCGGTTAGCTCATCGGGTTCGCGCTCAAGACCCTTGAGCAGTCGCAATTCTTCAGCCTAAAATTAACAAATCAGTGTAAGACTAATACAACCCACTGCTCGAAGTGATCACATAAATCAGTTCAAGGAAATTTGTGAAGAAATGTAACCCACAATACGATTCATTCTACCTTCCGTCTGTATAAGAATTCATATTCACCACAAAACCCACTATGTCTACTTCATTAAAAGCTTTAGATGATGCTTCATCACTCGAAATGAAATTAGAACTACCATTGAAATTGAAGATAAAATATACCACTTAATAAAATTCAGTAGATATTGTATTTCACCAGCTATTGTCGCACTCTGTCGTCTCCTCTCAAGAACCATTATATTTTTTTCGCCAAAAATTATTCATTTAAATTGACACCTTTATTGTTCAAAATTCTTCGACCCATAGTTTAATTCTTTTACAGCAATTGGAACAGACAGGCGAAAGCAAAATGTTGGAAGTATACGACGCGCGAAAGTAAAAAATTATGGAAGCTGGAATCAAAAGAAGTCTGAAATAAAAACAAGGTTGAGAATAATGGATTACAATAACTGCACACCATTCAAAGGCCATGGGAAACTGAATAAGCTCATAGTAAAGATCAATGTGCATGCAACGCCAAATAGCAGGGAAGTAGCTCCTTTTAGTCAAGCATAATTATGATTGAAGCCAAGTAGGGAATAGATTCAATTCATTTGGTGCACTGTTGGTTAAACGATCAATGTGTGCACAGACAAAACCAAATGACAGAGATACTATGCTCATTAGTGTATATTTAATGAATGAAATGACTAACGATTATAGCCAATAGGAGAGTGGTAGAAGCCGTGGATCACCGACTCGATGTTCATCACCACACACACACACACACACACACACACACACCGAAAATTGCTACTCCTTTAATCCAAAATGGATGTTAAAAAAAAACTCACCTTAGATGAAATTGTGACTTAAATCCATTTCAATAGTGTTTACCCCGCTTTAGACAAATCTGTGCAAACCAGACACTAAATCGTCTATTTATGCACCCAGAATCGAATGTCTTAAGTAGAAAATGATAATCGTTTGGAGCATCAACCTAGTGTCATTACAAGTATATCGAGAGTGCACTCACTAGTTCAAGAAGATGTTTCGCCCACATCTCCGAGTCCTCTGAAGCACACTCCCTCTCCTTAGCAATTCGAGCTTCGATTTCATTGAGAATAACATCCGGTGGGAGGGATTGAAGAGAAACCAGGGGGTTTACGGCAACTGCTTCAGTAGCCACCCTCTCCGCCTCTGCTTTGTTTGTCTCCAACTCCATGATCTGCTTCTGTAAATCAGCCACCTTCGAGCGCATTAATATCAGCTCGCTAGGGAAGAAAACACCAGAACTAACAAGACACTAGTATTGCTTTTCTTTTCTGCAATCTGATTGGCGACAAGGAGCAAAATTACCCGAAATTGAGAGAGTTGAAAATGCGGACTAGAAAAAGTTCCAGGAAGACGTCAGTTCAGTAGATGCTCGATTCCTTGTCAATCAAAACATCAACAAAACTATGCACTATCTGCCCATAACTGTAAAAGCTTATATGTAAATCGGGGTGGTGTGACCAGCCACTGGCCAATATGGTCCAATTATTGTGGACGTAACCTCATATATGAAATTGAGTCATTCAAGGAAGTACGAATACTATATACGTTAACACAAACTGAACTGTTTAAGAAAGTAGGAATAACTCCACGTTTACACAATCGCATAAAGAAAGATTAATGCGACCCTGACTTCAATAGCAGTGTCTCCTAGACCACCTCCATCCCTTTATAATCTAAAGAACTCATTAGATGTTCCAGATGTTAGGGCAATTTCCCAATTGTTTAAATTTGAATGTGTTTATTACATTAATTTGCAGCATACTAGTGGCCGCTTGTTTGAACGATAAATGATTCGACAGTAATATGGGATCGGAATAAAATAATGACAGAACAGTAGAAAGGAGCCTAGTGGTTTCGTGTTCATTTATATCCATAATTATGTTTTACTGTGGATAATTAATTTTATCGATTTTCCTCATCATGAGACATTTGCAGTTCCACTTTCGTGGCTAAAAGTGGAAGTACTATTTAAAGTAAGGAGGAAGGAGGTGTGATTCTAAAGTGCACAAAAGCTGCTTAAGTTGATTCCAGCCAAGAAGAAAAACGATAATGAATATTAAAGGCAATATTTCTGATACAATTTGGGAGAGAGGGGGAGGGGGTTGGATGTTTTAGGTTAAAATAAGGAAACAGTCAAAAACAGATAGGAATAGAGCAACAAGCAAATCAATAAAAAAGCGAAGACAAAGCTGCTAATCAAATTATCCAAGGACCGCAGTACCCATGACGTTTGCAAATTCAATTTAAATCTAAAACAAACTAATATTACCAACAAAATATTCATTTCAATAAGGGGAAAAATATGGCTACGCCTTCAGTTATCTAACCCATGTTATGCTAAAGCAGTAAACTGCGGAATACCATTTAAGATCATTTGCCTTCTCAACCGCTTGAAGACAAAAATTAACTAAAGCGGCATGGTCGCGACTTCTCGAATAAATAACACTGATCAGGGGACATTGAACACAATGGAGAGACGGTAGTTGTGATCCAGGCAAAATGCTGCGAAATTGGAGTTGTGGGGTGTGAGCAAAGTATTGGGACGAATGAACTAAGACACGCTTTGACACTCTGACCTTGTCACCTGCATTCTTTTGATTCCCTTTTCTTTACTTACGTTGGAGCCTGTTGTATGATATCAATCATTTCCAACAACGAAAAAATATTCATTTTTGTGAATTACCGTAGCTAGATGCAATATTTTCTATTTAAAGAGTTCAAATGGGAGCTTTTCCAGCTGTATAGGATTGATAGAATGTGATCTATAGGGACAATGAACGAATTGAAAGGGAAGGCTATGCTTAGTACTTGATGGAATCTTGAATATCATTCATTTTACATGTTGAGTAAAATTGTTTGTTGAGAAATTCTTGAGAAAAATTTAACACCTACTTCCAAGTAACCTCATTGCCTGAAGGATTATCCAAACGTGCAAACACGGAAACAATGTACATCTCTAACAAATTATACATCTGGAGAATTTATAATTAATTCAGCTAAAATATTTTGGATAATTACAAAATCTACTTATTAACTCCAAATGAAAGGCATCACCATTGACAAAGTCACGGTAAAACAATCGTAAGTGGGAGGTCCAAGAAAAACGGGAAAGAAACACTCCTTGTTAATTAAATAAAAAATTCAACCTAGGCACACAAATCACTGAAAAACTCCTTAGCTCTTCACTAAAATTCGCAAACAATATATATTCATTACGCGATTCAAAATGCCCAAAAAACCAACATGAAAAAATTCTGTGAAATGATAAAAGGATTGTGGAGTCGAGATTAAGATCCGTATACCTTACCCTTCAGCCATAGCAAGTTGAGAGACAAGTGAGTTGACCTCCTCATTCTTTGACCTTTCCTCCTCTGTATTGAGGAGAGTCCTTTGTTGATTCAATGCAGCTCTCAATTCCTCTTCAGTTTGTTTGGCCACTCTCAATTCCTCTTCAGCTGAGGCCTAATGAGAGGCAAGACGAATAACGGTGGTAACTTAGATAGTAGCAATAGCTTTGAAGGGTTATGATACCAGATTTAAGTCCTTAGTTAATTACTATAATGCTATCAATATTAAGGTAATTCAATGTCATAACTAGGTGCCTCATAGGTGACCCAGTATTGGTAACAAAATGAATACGCGTTGTGTAATCTCTAGACAAGCCACTCTGTGTAACTTTCGTATTAAAAAAAAGCACATAAAAGGGCGCAGTACGCTAAAACAACTTACTTTCTCAGCCAGTCTTTTATCAGCTTCCAGGACCTTCTCCTGAAGACAATTCAGTTGAGCATAGAGTTTTTGAATTTCAGAGTCCTTTTCGGTGAGTTCGTTCTTTGCTTCCAGCAACTGGAAATAGAAAGGTGATCAAAATGAATTAACATAAGTAAAGAAAAGGGAATCAAAAGAATGCAGGTAACAAGGTCAGAGTGTCAAAGCGTGTCTTAGTTCATTCGTCCCAATACTTTGCTCACACCCCACAACTCCAATTTCGCAGCATTTTGCCTGGATCACAACTACCGTCTCCATTGTGTTCAATGTCCCCTGATCAGTGTTATTTATTCGAGAAGTCGCGACCATGCCGCTTTAGTTAATTTTTGTCTTCAAGCGGTTGAGAAGGCAAATAATCTTAAATGTTATTCCGCAGTTTACTGCTTTAGCATAACAAGGGTGAGATAAATAAGAATCGCAGACTAGGGGAGTTCAACTTATACTATTTCCTTGGGATTCATATTATCTTTGATTTGGATTCAAAGTGCTTATTTATATTTTCATACACATACATACAGAACGTTTGGGGTAAATTGTATAGTCTCTACAAGAAAGGGAGATTGGCAACTACAAAATTAAATGCATTTTAAAGATATTTAATAGACAAGGCAACTGCAGCGTTGACAAGGCGCATTACTCAAAATAAGCACCACAAGTGCCCACATTTCATTCTTTTTAGAAATCAAAATTCTAGACAGAATCCATGTGACCTATAATTGGTCACTCTCCTTAACCAGATCTTAAGTACTACTACTACTACTACTACTATGGTCAACAATTCTACCAAGCCATCTTAATTTGGCCTAATGGCCACACATTACAATCAGATACAAAAAAAGCAACCCAACCCAAAATGTGTCCTTTGGAACAATATGAAAGTCCAGCCATCCATGATTCGGAATTTTGAGCCATTCTTCTTGGCGAAAGTTACTCTTTATAAACAGACCAAGACTTTTTAATTCATGTCCCACTCATTTAGTCACAAATGACCAATTTTCCCAAATGATATGCTTTACGTGGAGCAGAAACTGAAGGAGTTAAGCAAACGCACCGAGAATTGTTCAGCTTGCATAGTCACCAGAGAGGCTTCTAATTCGGCCAATCTCCTTTCAGCAGCAGCCAACTTGGTAGAAGCTTCATTCTTTACTGAGGAATCAGTGAAGTCGACAGCAACGCCAGAGAGTTGGTTTTCCATGTGCTCATTCGTCTCTTTGGCAGCTGCCAACGCCTCCTCCAATTCGAAAATGCGCTCCTCAACATCAGTCTTTTGATTCTCAAGTGTAGTCTTTTCGATAGCCTCCTCTTCCAACCGGAACTGAAGCTCTTCAGACTTCCTAAAAAAGAAAAAATGGGGGTTTAAATTTAAAAAGCCAAACAGTGAGAAGAATATTCGCTTAAGAGATAACTTAATAAATGATAGACAATATGAAGGAAAATAAGTAGTCTGAAAAATGGCACAAACATATCAATGGATAATATTCACAGAATTATGATAATTTCTTGCTTCCTACTTCGTTTAGTATATGATTGAATTCTCGGTTTACATACCGATTAATCCAGAGCGAAAAATCACTTGAGCTTTAGCTTTAACCTGTCATTTAGTTCAAATTTCTGCCTTTTCCATGTTTTCTCCCAACAGTCTGATTCGCCACTGTGACCCGGCTCTTACTTGTGAGAGTGGAGTTAGTGGGTTAGTTAGTAAAGCCTCTACCTTCAGCCGTGTTGTCAACTTTACATTGGCGTGCTTCTTTATGCAATACCTCTAAAAATTTCAATTGCGTGGAATGGGTATGACTTAAGTATAAGGGATTGAGAGTAGCTGGCATTGAATAGGGGGTGATCTTTAAACCCCACCAAATCCTTCAAACAGGCAAGATTGTGGGATCAATTTTATTAATATAGAGAAAGTCAACGATTAGAGCTTGTGCCGTAGACTCATTCTAGCCAAATACAGTACATTTCACATTGTGTGTAAAAAGGATACAATTAAAAAACCAAATCTAAATGTCACATCTTAGCACATATAAGTTACCCTCATTCAATAAAGCAGCACACTGCACCAATTAAGACTTGGCTTTACATTCAGGGGCCTAATTAGTTTTAGCTTAGTAATAGCTACCACCTAATAGAAAAGAGTCATCTATCCATTTATTGTGTACATGGAAATTCGAAAAAAACTGGAAAATGGGGAAAAGAGAACGAGATATGACAAGGGAATGCGCAAGAATAGAATATCTGCTTAGAATGTTTACATTTTGGCAACTCAATCATACTCCAAAAAGCAGACTTACTTGACTTCCTCATGTACCCTCGCCTTCAGCTTGCCGTTCTCGTCGGAGAGATGCAAAGCAGCCGCCTGAAGTTCCTCAATTTGACTTTGCAGCTGTCCAATCAGGTTGCGTTGATTCACAGCTTCCATTTCGAACTACAGCGGTAGAATTACAGCAAAGAGAGCCTTATACATATGCTGAGATTGGAACAAAGAATTGGAAAAAACGCATTTATATAATGAATCAGAGAAGATGAAAAGCATCGTAGCACTGATAAAATCTTGCGAGTACGCTTGACTCCGAGTTAGTGGCATGAGCAACGATCCCAAAACGTCAATAAAACTTTTTTATACAAATAAAAGTGTTGACAAAGTGATAGTTGAAAATCAGGTCCCAGGGAAATTGTGGGCATCTCGAGCATTATTAATGGGCAGAAAATCAAAGTGAAAGGGGGAAGACAAAGTCTGCATTTCGCAACGTAAAGTTATGCTGGTCGAAGTTCACATAAGGCATATAGAGGTTACTTATTACACTACTCAATTGAATGGAACGTGGTAGAATCAAATCACCTGAAGTCTCAGAATCCGTGATTGGGACAGCAATCGGCAGTTAATGGGAACAGCATAAGAAATTAACAAAAGCAAAATTTTCATTTTTCCAATGAAGAAGAGTATCCTATCACAGAAACATAATTCTTCTTAAGATACCGCACGTCATTCTTAAGGTGCATATTGACAAGCAATGGAAATTTATAAACATAACCACAAATAACACATTACTTTAATTCCCACCATAAATTAAACCCAAAGGATTACGACATGCTTAAACTTTATAAAAATGGAGATTTGGGAAAAAAAATAACGAGACGTAAGTTATGCGTTAAGACGTTACGTTAACATGGCATCAATTTTTAAGAGAATCAAAATACCCTTCAGGAATACAGTAATAGTACTATCAGAGAGAATTGGGGGACTCTGAAAAGCTCAATAGTGTGAGGCAACATAATTCGTGATTTTTAAGTCTAGGCCCAGGGGTTAACTTTCCCCAGCGACAGGAGCTTAGAAGTCCAAAGAAGCGTCATAAAGGACAGAGGAAAAGGGGCTTAGACACAAATGAGATCCACTTACCGCTTCCCTCTCCGTGGTGACCCTGGCCAGTTCAGTGCGCTCAATTTCAAATTCTTGCATCAACTGTTCAATATGCGCCTCCTTTTCTTTCACCACACTCTGAAGACAAGCAGACGAAAAAAAGGAACATTAGTCAATTGCGTACCTGCGTGTTATATAGATAATAATCACAAAACGCTACGCTAAAAAGCTAAAATTAATACTAAGTGCCGAGTCATTAACCTCTTTTCGTCCAACTAACACACCACGCTGAAATTTGGGTTGAAAGAGATTAAAATTCTCAGTAGTACTTCAGGGGGGGTGCATAATCGATGTTAATTACGTACCTCGAGAGCATGAACGCTTGGACCGACTGCATTTGATCCCTTGCGGAGCTAAATACGGAAGGGAAATAAGTATAGAGCAAGAGCATATTTTCCGTGTGTCATCTCTTTTTTTCTCTGTGTACTCCTACCTGGCCACATGCTCGCGTTCGCTGGCGGGAAACTGAACTGAAATTCGATCCCATTGATAATAACGACTCCCGACTTCCTCTAGGGCAAAAACAAAATATTCGCTAATTTAACTTGGACTTTAGTTTGTGATTATGAAATGGATAAGAGAAAGCTTACGCTCGTCGAATGGTTCGAAGGGGTGTCTTTCCGTTGAAATGCGCAATTTTAGAGACCGGAGCGAAGAGACCATGATTGGGCTTGCAACTGAAGTACCTAAAATATAAATAAAAATACTTTTGTTGGTGCATTGGTTTCAAAAAGGAGACGACGACAAGAGAAACACAAATACCAAAATTTTTAAATCATCACAAATAATACTACTATCTACCATACAACCATGTGGTATTTACAGTTCACACATTAATTTCTTAATAAGAAGTAAACCTCAATGACCATACTCAAAGAAATCATATGCACAAGAGAAAATTTAGGTTTTTTACATCTATGCTTACTTCCCACATGTACATAGTGTGGAGTAAAAGTCCTCGAGTTTAGTTCGGCCAATCAAACCAAGGGGAATGCTTTCTCCAACAAGGGAGAAACAAGAGGCTGCTAAACAATGTCAATTGTTACACTTTTATTAACAACTAATTCAGTAATATTTAAATATTACGAATTGGTGGAGATGCTTACTATTAGTTTAAAAAGTACAAGGGGCTGAAAGTATGGATTTTGGGGAAGTTTAGACAAGGCATTGAACAAAAATTAGATGCTAGAATGGAGAAAACTTGGATGCAGGTCAATTCATTAAGAGATAACTGAATTTCGTCTTTTAGGCTCTACACTAGCACACCACCGTGTATCTTGAACAAAGAATGTATGCCCTTCAGCGATTCGAAATTAGCCAATACAAACAAAAAAAACTCACAAATTGCATATGAGTTATGCATTAAGACGCATTATATCCGATTACTGACCCTAAAAAATTAATGATCAATGCAAGTTGGACAAATTCCTGCCGAAAACTTGTGCACTGATGATTCGTCCTCCCCAGACACGATACTTAAATGAAATTAGGGCATCATGTTTCCTCAAAAAAATAAACAAATAAAACACTATAAATAGTATTAAAAGTGGTACAAACCTGCGACCATTCACTGATCCATCATTCTTGCCCAGGGGTTCATCCAGTTCCACTCCGACCCAATCGCCAGCTTGAAAATCGGTAGTACCAATATATCGGACAGAGCCAACACGTCCACCAGAGACCTGAACACGATCCCCAACTTGAGGAAAACCAGCGCCGTTGCCACATCCTCCAACACTTACTCGACCAGAGATAGATCGTTCAAGATTCGAGTTTGGAGTAGTCGATGGCATTGCACTAAAGCCTGCTGAAGCAGCACTCTCCTTTCGAGTTGTTGGAATGTTCTGAAAGGTGCATGCATTACCATTTCAGTGAACTCAAAGGAACTTGATAAGTAATCATGGAATTTCAATAATGAATACAAATATGTCAATTGGGTTAATCATGAAGTATTAGTGAACACTACTGATCTCGTGGGGAAAAAAAAGTAAACCGAAGCAGTATGACGCAATTTCAGAGAATAAATAATTAAATGATAAGCAACTTTAAATATACTAAATATCCAATGAGCTAGAACCCGATTTCATTCCCCTCCCTCCCCCCCCCCATTGAAAAGGGAAGTAGCATACTGAAGTGTTAGTTTCAAAAAAACCGAATGCTAATTGTTCCATTCGACATCCAACCTCTTGTACACGTTAATCAATAAGTCTGCGACGCAGAACTTGAAAGTAAAAGGGCAACTGCGCATGAAACTACGAAGAAACTTAGGGGAACTTAGTGAAAAGAAATGGGTCAAGAAGGGGACTTTAATGTGTTAATTATTTCATTTCAAGGATGAAAAGATGTGCCACAAAATCTACAAATGTTAACAATAGAAAATATTGGCAAGAAAGTGATACAACACTGGATCTTGACACTTGACATTGCATCTAGATCATTTAATAAGAGAAGACGAAAATAGCAATAAAAATACTTGATTTTACTAATAATATTTATTTAGAACGTATTTCAATTGCTGTGGGAGTATTTCAATCCCATCAAAACTTGCACTTACACAACTGAAAAGTTCAAATGATTTATTTCCTACAACAATAGAAATGTCCTTCGTTTTTCTATATTCGAGTGATAATATATTACTCCAATTAATGTTCATATTGGAACTATAAATATTTTGAGACAGAAATAGTTTGGTATTCCTGGTAATAACTACTATTATTCCACAAATACGATAAAATGAGCCGCTTTTGTAGATGTAACAGTTTTATTATAATCAAATTTGTGACATAAAAACACCAAATGGACAGTTTTATTACACGGAGTAATTTACCAATTAAGAAGCCAAATAGGACGAGGTTAAACAAATAGCGATTATGCATGAAGGCAAAAAAGGCAAAACAGATCTAATTTCAACTGAAAGCTTAAGAAACCAAATCGAATTCAAGGAAAAAAACCTAAAGAGCAAACTAGGGAAATCAAATACCAAAATGTAGAAGTAAATTATAAGAGGGCAATAATGAATTAATTTGTAACACTTCAATCATTCGTCATAAAAGTAAAAAAATTAGGTAGAGCTACGAAAATTTCGAAAGGGTAAGGAAATAAAGTCACGGAAATGCGCGAAAAAAGCGTATGAAATTCAAAGGAACATAAAAAATGCCAACCAAATGATAACAAGAAAAAACAGAACAAAAAATAAATCCTAAATAAGCAAAAAAAGAAGTTAAAAAGTAATTGCGAATAGGAAAGTTATGAAGTGAATTAAAACACGTTTCTAACTTGTGCAATCAACGTAAATTAATGAAAGTAAACAATTCAAACTGTTAAAACAGATGCAAAAATAAAATTCTAGAGAAAAGAAAGTGCAGAAAAGCCAAAAAGGAAACTGCGTGTGCGTTAGAGAAGTAAAATACAAGATTCAATTTAAATTTAAATATTTCAAAAAAATTACTAGTGAAATTTGAGAGATTAAAGTTAAAATGTTAATAACCACATGCCGATGATTCCGAAATGGGAACAAGGCCGCTGCGACGAGTAAAAAGTCCATAATTAGGTTCGCACTGAAAGTACCGGACACCGTTAACGCTTCCATCATTTTTTCCATTAGGAGCAGATAATTTAATACCTAAATTTCACAAAAAATAGTAATATAAGAAAAGCCAAGAAAGTAAAATCCCACAATCATAATGGTAGTTAAATAAATGCCTAACCTATCCATTCACCAGCGGCAAACTGTGTAGTTCCAATAAAAGCGATAGAGCCAACACGATCAGTGTGATTTTTAACGTATACCGGATCCCCAATATTAAATTGGTGCGTCTGCGCAGGATTCGAAGAATTTAAATCTTTAAAAATATGTTATCAGATCTGAAAATCAAGTGCATACCCAATGAGGACATTTTAATATTTAAGCTCAATTCTAAATAATCAAAGAATGCGCCGCTAATCTTGTGATGCAAAACACACAATCCTGAATTACTGACCATTAAATAAATGAATTAAAACACCAAAATGATTCAGTTAAAGCATTCATCTAGTATCGAATATATTTAAAACCATTAGGTACAATCTTTGCTACAAACTATTAATTTTTGTTGTTAGAAAATGTAAAAATCAAGATTTACTAAACCACTTTAAAGAGCAAAAATTTTATTGTATATATTTCTAAAAGTTGACAAACCCGTGATAATTCTAGAATAACTTTCATGTTGTTTTAAAACTTATTAAGGATATTCAGATTTCCTATTTCCATTCGGTTTATAATATCTATACTAATTTTTTTAAAAATTATTGTTTTATTCTTTCAATTAATTATTTACTTGTGTCAGTTATAATAAATACTGCTAGCAACATAACCAAGAGCTCTACAATATTTTGCATGATTTTATAAATTAATTTCCCCCGCTTAGCTTATTAGATGATCCCAAATGGGTAATATTATTGTAATAAGGGGACTAATTTGCTACTTTATCTAGCCTATTCCAAATTTGGTATTTCAAGTTTCAGAATCGGCCATAACAGTTATAAACCAGCAAACGGGTCCAAAAATAATGCGGAAATGACCAGGCATAAGGATATAAAGATTTAAATGACGCATTACTTCAAAAAACCTTGACTAATAAACGGGTAATAGCTAATTACATATGTCAATAATAATAAAAGGTGATTTATACTGCATGATAATTTCAAAGATAAATGATAAACAATTTATAATGATACAAAATGGTAACAAAAAATGAATAAGAACAGAAATCATTTTATTGGATAAGTGAATTAACAATATATGTTGATCATAAACGTATCCCAGACGAATGAGAAATTATTAAATTTAAAATTCAATGCCAGATTTTTCATAGTAAAAATATTTTATCTCCTGTGGGCTAAATGATAAAATTTTTAGCATGTCAATTCTTTTATTTTTATTAGAGTGGCTTATATCACTGATCGACCTTAAATGTAGATCTCTTCTCTCAATCTTTCCAAGTTGTTGTAAGTGATCCGGTTTTTGTCAAATTAATGTGTGGCATAGGCACGCGTATAAATTAGTCATAATCATGGTACTTATTTTCCTAACTCAGTAATTTAAGTTATACTTTATTTTTCTAATTTTTAAACATTGAATTTAGCAACCATGGATATTTTCGTCGATGAACTACAAAAGAATAGACGGTATCAAAAGATAATGCATTTAGGCGAAGGCCAGTTTGCAAACGTCTTCCTTGCCCGTGATAACTCGAGAAACGGTACATTTGTCGCTATTAAGAAGGTGCTCGACAAATTAGATCTTTATCATACATTTAGGTCAAAGCAGGTCCCAAATGGGTGCTAGAAGATGGGATGAATATATCCGCTATTCGGGAAGTGAAATTATTGCGTGAGATGGACCATCCTAACGTCATGACTCTACTGGATGTTTTTAGTCAGGACTTTGGTGTCTGTCTTGTTTTTGAGTATATGGAATCTGATCTTGATGCTATTATTAGAGATCCAAACATTGTTCTTACACCAGCAAACATTAAGTCGCTCAGTTTACAGGTTCGTACGAATTGTATTAATAATTGTGTCTAGCTTCTAAAAGGTGTTGAATATCTACACGCAATTTGGATTCTCCATCGAGATTTAAAACCAAACAACCTATTTTTAAGTCCTCAAGGCGTCGTTAAAATCGGTGATATGGGTTTAGCTCGCCATTTTGCCGCCTCCCCTGGTCGACCTATGACTCATCTCGTGGCTACCCGATGGTATCGTGCTCCTGAGCTCATTTTCGGATCTACTCACTATGGAGTTGGTGTTGATTTGTGGGCCGTCGGATGTATCATCGCCGAATTTTTGCTTCGAGTACCGCTTTTCGTTGCAGACACTGATTTCGGTCAAATTGATAAGATTCTTGAGGTAAATAGTGTTCAATTCTTCAGTAATTAATCTAATGAAAAATCGCTGTTTTAATTGAGGAAAACATCTTACCACCGAATTTAATAAGTAGTTTACTTAATTGACGGAAGGTAAATATATAATAGAGATTAAAATTCAACTTCAAAATATTCTCACTTTATGAAGTTTCTGTTGCATTTCAAATTTTATGATCTTATCGTGATGTCTTCATCGGGGCACAAGTGATTTATTGAATTATTTTAGTCGCCACGTAGCTGAGGCTCCATCAGTTGCCAAAAATTTGCCTAATTTCTTCTTCCTTGCGTTTAAAGTGACCCAATGTCGTCTCAGCATATACAATGGCATTATTCACATTTATGACCAAGTGCTTACAATCCGCTGATGTCCATTTTGATTTAATAGACTTAGATCAGACAATAGGAATTTGCTGAATGCTCAAAAATCAAGACGATCTAGGAAACTGGGATGCCTACGGTAAACTGTACAAGTACATCCGAATCGCATTATTGAATCTATAGGTTTGAAATATGGGTGCCGCAGCATAAAAAATGTAAGTGGGGAAACATGTGAATCTCTTAAGTTTCTTGACGGCAAACAATTCGTCCTTTTTATACTAGATCATATTCCATACCCTAGGCCAAGCTATGGTTGACTCCTCACAACTTTCTTTGGCATAATTACAAATTGCGAAACAGTTGCAGATGGAATTCATTGGCAATGATTTGGAGTAGTGAATGTGGAATTGAAAGATATCCGTTAAAGTTCATATATCAGAAATACATTAATTCTTCAAATTTACATTAGCCAGACTTACTAAGCAAGAATGGTCTCCTAAAATGTTAGGAAATTATCACGTCCTTCATATTTGAAATTGAAATGGAGAACCATTTTAGTAATTATTATTTGAAATGGCGGGCTTTATGATATTTATCACTAGCCCCTTAGTTGACTTCAGCTTCCCAATGGGTGGGGGGGGGGGGGGGGGGGGAA